AGATTACTGTAAACTATAATACAATAAATTGATTGTCAATGCGTTACTAAAACTATCTGAAAATATAGATCAAGTATTCCTCTGGAGTTGAAGTTAACTTCGGCAATGAGTTGACACCGACTCAAGTGAAGGATCAGCCGGTGGTGGACTGGCCGGCAGACAACAACTCCTACTACACACTATTGATGACAGATCCCGACGTTCCCAGTCGTACTGACCCTAACTTAAGTGAAGGCAAACATTGGATTGTCATCAATATTCCCGGCGCTGATGTCAGTAAAGGGCAGACATTGGTTGAGTACATGGGCTCCGGCCCATTTAAGGGAACAGGATTTCATAGATATATATTCGTTGTATACAAACAGACGGATATTATTAATACTAATGAGAAGGTTATATCGAAACTGACAGTCGAGGGGCGAATGCTGTGGAAAATCAAAGATTTTGCTAAGCAATACAATTTAGGTCAACCAATAGCTGCCAATTTTTACCAAGCTCAGTTTGATGAATGGGTTCCTATTTTTCTAAAACAGATAGGCCTTGATCCTGATTCTTTTAAATCATAAAATCTTTAAAATTATTTGGGGTACAATATATAGTTTATACAGCAATAATTGTCAAAAATAATTATAAGATTTATAAATTATAATAATGTAAAATAACTTGAATTTAATAATAAAATTATTTGTTTTAATTTTATGATTTGTTAATACATTTTAATAAATTAATAATATTTCATAAGAGACATTAATCGATATTAGGCTATCCAAAAAAAACTTAACTGACAAAATTGTCATAATTTTGCTATTATAGATAATAATCAAAATCTGTAAAAAGCACTTTACTTACAATGTGCTTCAAGTGTTTTTCAGGTAATTAAATAAAATAAACTGGATTATACTCGTATGGTATAGTATAATAAGACTATCCAGGTCCTGTAATCTAGCGGAATGTCCTAGGTATTCAAATCGGTGATTATATCGGTCGAGACGCTATAAAAACTGTATACTTTTTGCTGTGAAATACACTCATTCATAGTATTGAAACTCTGACTCGTATAGTCGTATAGAATGAGTAGTTTAATAGGCTTTTATAGCAAAAA